GGGGACAGGCTACTTGGTGGGGTCGCAAGGACACCCAGGTCTTGGTTGGTGCGGCAATCTCTTTGTTCTTGGCAACATTGTTAATATTCCTGGGAGAGGGAGCATATGAAGCTATCTGTGAATAGATCTATCAGCTTCATTCCTAAGAGCAGGTTTGTACAAAAGGCAGAGAAGGTGGGCAGTGGGTAAGGGGCTTTGGGAGGGACTGTGGGTACACACAAAGGCACTCGGCAGACATTTATGGACTAAAGGGATAGGTGCACGGAAGATGGACTGGGTGGCCTGAAGGTTTCATCCTAGGGCAGGAAAGGGCAGGTGGGCAGTATGGATGGACCCTTGTCAAGAGAGGCAGCTGGACAGAGGCAGGGCAGCACCCGGGAGCAGGTGTGGGGTGAGAATTGGCCCTCAACAGGACACCGAGGAGAGGGGCGCGGGTGCTGGGAGGTGGGCCAGAGGCCCCGCCTGGGTGTGCATGCAACAGGGGTGGGGGGCCTAGGGATCTCTGAAGTGGTTTGTAAGGGGACAGCACACCCAGTTTCCCCGCCGTGGTCTCCTGTCCACTCCATTGTGCAAAGCTGGCAAAGGACGGCCCTCTCCCAAGATGTGTCAACCCCTCCTCCCTTGGCGATCTGATGTCATCATCCGATTGTGGTGAAGCCTCACCTCTTATGTCACTGAGGCAGGATAAGAGGCATTTATGCTAATGAGGGCGGAGGTAAACTACAGGACTAGGTTGAGTCTAGACCCTCTCTCTTTTGTCCTGTAAGAAAGTGAGCGGAGAGAGCAGGATCTACTGTCCCTAAGGAAGGAGCAAAGTACATCGTGTGGACCCAGGCTCCCCGTGCTGAGAACCTCCGAGACCCAGGGGAAGGTTGATGACGAGGACCTTCTCCCAGAGCCCACAGAGAGAGAATCTGTAGCCGGCACCCTGAACGTGCACCTTGAGGCCCCTACACTGTGAGAGGCTCCAGGTCTCTGGGTTAGAGCCGTCCACTGTGGCACGTCCATTTCAGCCACACGAGGTGCCTGAGTGTCGACAGTGGCCTCTCCTCAGGGTGGGCTCTCAAGAGCTAGCGTCGCTAGTATCACCATCCGTGGCCCCTACCCACATAGGCAGCCTCCCCGCCCACCCCACACACATCCCCTTCTCCTGAGCCAAGATGACTTCAGACAGGTCCCTCTGCCTCCCCGGGAGCACCTTGCCAATGGCCCTCTTAAAGGCCCTCAGGACCTGGTGACCTTGCTGGCTGGTTACCACACCCACTGTTTGGACTGCCGGGGTACTCTCTAGTGCCCTCAGGCGGAGCCACAGACTGTGTTGCAGGCTCCCTCTCCCTTGTAGGTAAGCTCATTTTATAGGTTGATAAACAGACACAGGTGTTCAGCCCACCTGTCCAGGTCTTGCCACCAACCAACACAGTCAAGTTAAACCAGAGGAAGGTTTGCTGCCTCCTAAGCCAGTGCTAAGGAGCCCAGTGGTGCCATAGAGCTGCTAAACGCTAACTGTGGAGTTGGTGGTTCAAACCCACCAGCCACTCCGAGGTAGACAGTTGAGGCGGTCCCCGTAAAGACTGATGGTCTCAGTAACCCTCAGGAACAGTGCTCTGTGTGTAATCCTGCCCCCAGCAGCCACGTCTATGCGAGCGGCGAGCCTGGGCTGGGTCCCTGCAGGGAGGAAGTGAGTGTTGAGCAGGGACAGGCTTTACCTGGTGCCAGTTTCACTCGTGCCAAGACGATCTCGCCAACTCGCCAGCACAAGGCTGGATAAAAATCACGCTGCTGTCTGTAGGGTGTTAATCGGCCATCACCAGCTGATGCCCTTGTGCTCAGGTACATCGATTGGAGGTTGTCTGCTTTAGGCTATTTCCTGGAGGACAGAGGCTGATTCTTTAAACTAAAAGACCCAGAGAGATCTGGGGAAGGAGCCCCCCGTTTGGGCTTCAGATGGCCCTGGGTTGGTATATGGGCTCTGGCACTGACTGGCTTCTTGGTCTGGTGGAAGCACCACGTCAGGAACCTCAGTTTTCCTCATTGTAAAACAGGGCAAGGAATGGCTGCCTGCTAGACTTGGTGTGAGGTGACGAAGGACCTGTGTGCCAAGGCCCTGGACCTAGTGAGAGCTCAAGAAAAGGGGCCGCGACCGTATGGGGGTGGCCTCAGCTCTGGGCTCACGAGGGCCTCTTTGTTGGTGGCCTGGTGCTGGTGCTGGGCAGCCAACTTGTCCCCTCTAAGGTCTCTGGGGATTCATGCCTCTCATGCTCTTTGGGGTTGATAGCTAATCTGGCACACAATTCCAGCGCGCCCTTTGTCTTTCTTTGTCCAGTCCCCAAGGAGTCCCTGCATGGTCTAGACTGGGACCACACCTGCCTCCTTGTCTAGGCTCAAGCTCTGTGGTTTTGGGGGAATCTCTTGGCCACCCCTGCCCCTGAAAATACAGATGACTGTAGGTCGCCTCACACTCTGCCACAGAGTGATCTCGCCTGGGGGAGGGGAAGCCATCTGTCCCCAGAGGACCAACCTGTTTTGTTCCTAGGGAGTGGGAGCCTCTGCCCCTTCACCTCACCTTTTAAGATGTGAGGAGGCCCATTACATGGCCTCAACCTTTGACCTTTGGGCCATGCTTTCTTTTCTTTTTTTTTAACATTTTATTAGGGGCTCATACAACTCTTATCACAATCCATACACACATCAATTGTGTAAAG